ACTGGGATGGACTTCTATCTCTTCAAGGAGAAACCAATGTTTGCTACCAAACCTGAGGAAAACAAGCTCTGTCAGGAACCAGAGGTATAGTAGAGCAGGAAACACCATGGGAGGTTAGATGAGACTTCCTCATGTTCATACAAGACCTAGACTAGTTAAAAAGCTGCAGGGTTTGGAAGGTGCTAATCGCCTACTGTAGGCATCTGCTCATTGCTCACCAGTTGCAGACATGAGGAAAAGCTGGGAGAGACTGGTGAGAGAATCTGTCCTCTCATGTCAGAGAGATTTAGCTCTGCTGCTCAGACCTGGAAGAGAGTTTGCTGAGCCTGATTAGAAGACCATTGTCCTGCTCACTGTTATGATTCACTGTGGACTAAAGATATTTTCTAGTCAAGCTGTAGAGTAAGAAGAATGCACATCAAAATCAATTGATCCAAACAAGTTGCATCTCTTTCCTGAGTGGCAAAATTATCAGAGGCTATTTGAGATCTGAGCCTACCAATAAAACCATACCTTGGCTACGTCTGTGCGAATGAAATAAGCAGGGCAAGGACACCAGCCCTACCGTTTGATCATCTATTGTGTCTAATTGCCAATACTCTCCATGGCACAGTTTTGGGCTCAGTCCCAGACGATGCCTGGGCACAGCTGGGGGACAGCACAGGCCAGGAACTGTTCTCAGGAGGCAGTGAGTGTTCATTGTTTTGGGGAGTGAAGACAGTTTAATCATATACACATAAGCAGTGCTGGACCACTTGTCCATAGGAACAGAGGAGGGGCATGGATGTAGCCTATAAGTTAAAATGAGGTCCACAGGTCCAGCTTTTCCTTGACGACAGGGAATAGTGGCTACAAATTCTTTACCCCATGAGAATCTCCTGCTAGAGCTGATTAAGCATCTACTTCCCACCAGACCAAGCTCTCACAAAGTGTCCCTAAAAAGAAAGGGATAGGTGGTCTTACAGAGAACAGGCAGCTTAATTATCTAATCATGGGAGGCAGCGTCTGCTGTCTAATAGTCTAATGTTATTTTCTCATGGGCAGTGTACATATGAGGAAATTCAGTGCCGCAATTAAGAAAGAAAGGAGAGGAAGAATGGGATGAAGTCTTGAGATCTCTCAAAGTCAAGAAACTTGGAGCAGTCCAAAGTAAGCGTATGAATTTGTGAGGAACTTACTGTAGTAGATGTTGGTCTATCTGACCAGTGATTTTTTAGATAGCTGATGAGAAGAATGAGGAGCCAAGCTCTTTTCCTTAGCTGTGCTCCTGAAGATGTGCTCAGCACTACGAAAGTGTCTCTAAATACTTCAGAAAACCAGGAGTCCTTGAGGCATTTTGAGCAATGCAAAGTGAGATGACTTCCAGACGTTGTACGGGAGTTGCAACCCATGAGCACCTTTCCCTTTCCACTCTGAGGCAGAAGACCAAGGAAGAGAAGACTGAAAATGAGAGACTTGGGGTTCAAGCCAAAACAAAGAGATGCACTAAGATGTTATCTTTTGAGGTCTTTATGAGCTCTATGAATAACACCTTTACAGGTTGAATATTTTCTGTGTATAGGGTTTACTGGTTGACAAACAAACACAAGAATGCTATCTCACAGCAGGATATGTCCCTTGGACAATGAAAAGCTGGTGTGTGTGTAGCACTTAAATCCATAAAGGTAGAGCAAACATTCAACAAAACATGAATAAATAAAAAAAAAAGCTGAAGAAGATGTATTATCTTGCTCCTGTAAGGCCAGAAAAAAAGGAATGTAAGTGAAGAAAAACCACACCCCAAGTTTGAAAGGGTAACCCACAATGCAAGTGAGAAAATAATCCTGAGGAGCATGTTCTGATTTAGCCATAAGGAAAACTGGGAAGCTGGGTATGCTCTGCTCTTTTTTATACCACACATGCAGTATTTTGAGGAGGGTGTGTGACTGTGCCCTCAGGCACCCACAGCACGTCTGTGCTTATCACTTCAAGGACAACAGATTTTGTTCCTAGATGCGGTTATTGGGAATTCTATCATTCAGTGAAATTACAGCAGGACTGAATTTGGCTTCAAGCGTTATTATGTTGCCTTGAAAATGTTCTCTTCATAGAGTCAGAAATAGCCAAAAATCCAGGAAATCTTGTTAAGAATAAATACTGGAAACAGCATTGATGTCACTTATACATGTGGCATGCTGGGTACCTCGAAGCATATTTAGAGCAGGCAGTAAACAATGGCAAACCAGGGAAAGTAGGGTTTTGCCTGCCTTTTGAAGACTGTTAGCTATATTTACTTTTCTGTTGCAATGTATGTGTGTACAGCACTCTGCCAAGCAAGATATACTTTTTATTGACCTACTTGTGTTCCAATTTATTGCTAGTGACAGCTGTTGTCAATGATCTGGAGAAAATAAATTGAGAATAAAGCAAAGAGACACTGATTGGTCAAAAAAATTAGTTGTTGTTTTAAATCAAAGATAAGGGATTTAGTCTCTTAAAAACTACAGATTCTGATTAAAATGAAGACTTTAAAGCCATGTCTAGATTACAGTAATTCAGAACTTCATGGATTATGAGATGAAATACTTCATAGGCATCATTTTGGACAAAATGCTGCCATTAGGATTACTACATAATTTTAGACCTACTGTATTGCATTTCTTCAAATCCTTTGCTGTGGTACTACACAACTTTGAAAGACACTGGCTGCCATGTTTAATTTGATCCTTCTAACATGTGAGTCAAATTTGTTGACATTTAACATTTGCAGCCAGTCTAATCTGCTACATTTCAGTGACTTCTCTGCACAGTAATTTCAGAATCAACGTTTAGTATAGCTGGTGTTCTGGTGGTGTTTCCTAGATACAGGTTGCGGATGACAGTTGTAGCACATGAAAATCTCCCTTCTCCAGTTAGCACAACAGGCATTTAACCGTTTCTGGTTTTTAAGGGCAAATTAAGACATATTTGATTCTGTGTTTTATCTTATTTGGCTTTTTAGATTGCTTTTGTTAATGGGCCACAAGCTGCTTGGGGATATTCCACATGGAAGGCACTATACACCAACAGTTTAATTGTCTCTCTCTCTGAAAAGGTGAAACAGTTTTATTGAAGATGCCTGCCAGAGAAATCACGTGTATCACTAATGGAGAAAGCAAGTGATAAAAGCTTCTTAGATGACAGAGATGCTGAAAAAAACAGTTTTCCTATGACAGTATTCTAGGGGATAAACGAAACAACCCAGTCCCCCTGTTTTTTGTCAGCATCTTGAGGAAAAATCAGATGAAGATACAATAGTTCTGTTTGTTGTAGCTATATCTGACTTTTTTTCTAATGCAAACAGAGAAGCACGTCCTACAATTGTGACTTTTATCACTGATACCTTTCTGCCTTGTATGTACATGTTTAAACTGCAGAAAAATTGAACAGCTGCAAATAAATCATAGATGATGAAGAATTTTAAGGGCTATGAAGAGTTGGTAGTACTTCTAAACAGCTTCAAATTTCATCCATGGAGATTGTTGAAGATATGTACTGGAAGAGTTAAACACATGGAGGGAGGTGGAGAAGGAGGGAAAAACCTTACAATTATTACAATTATTATTATTTATTAAAAATCCTAGTTCTGATAGAAAACAGGGCTGTTATCCCAGGGTTTCCCTTGGTATAAAAGAGTTAGAGATGTTGTGGGTTAAAGTATGGGAGTAGGAAAGGCACGTCAAGGTCACACAGCTTACGGAGCTGTATTTGCTCCAGGCAGTCTGAGACACAGCTTAAACAGAACCTCTTCTACACTAGCCAGAAAAAACAGTATTTTCAGGCCAGAACGTTACCAGCCAAAAAGAATCTGGATTTTCTAGATATTAGGATTTCAACCTTCAGTTTCACCTTTATACCTTATCTGAATAATATCACACCCTTAATGACCTTGGGAAACAAACCAGCAATTTTAATTTACCAAAAAGAAAAGAAAGACAATTATGAGCTGAAATTATTTTCAGAGGGGGAGAGCAGGGGACGTTTGAGGGATGCAGTGGAGGTGAGGAGGGACAGGTATCCCTCCAGGTACTCATGCCAACCACTGCTGCTTCTTACTCACGCTGCCTTTGTGATACCTTTTTCTGAGCAGCAGTAGCAATGACAGCAGCAGCTGTCAGGGCGCAGGGATGGATGCAAGGCTCCTGTATGTCCTCTCCCCTTGCTCCAAAGGGCGCACAAGAGGGGTGCCCCGTCACCCTGCCTTGCTATGGTTCTGTATATATTAATAGTCTGATGTGTGCATAATTAATGGCAGAGCCTCGGGGGTGCTAAATAACGCCTTAATGGGCCTGACCTGCCTCTTGTGGGGTCTCCCCCCTCTGCCCACGGGCTAAAGAAATCCATCTAAGCTCAGGTCTGGGCATTCACTCCCTGTCCAGCTCACTGTAAGTGTGCCTGTCCTCAGCCCTTCCACAGCAATGCTTGTGCCTGGCCGTGGCCCCCATTGACCCGGACCCCGACCTGGGGACCGTCTTCCCGGCTGGACCTCAGAGCTGCCTCGTCACTGTGCATGTCTGGCAGTCACTGGGCTGTGCCCGACCCTCACCGGACCTGATCCTGACCTGACTTCCTGGCCTGACCTTGGACCTGCCTCGTCACCACAGACTTGCCTGAGGATCTCGGCTCTTGGTTGAACCCGACTGCCATCTCTAGGCCTGCCCTGCTCACCTTGCTTGGGTACTGTGGAACTGGACCCCCGGCTGGCACAGCCCCTGCCCTGCTAGCCATGTTCTGCCCCTCGGCTCCTGCCTCCCTGTCCTTTAGGGAGCAGCCAGTCCTCACTGTTCCTTGATGATTAGAGTCTTAATTTATGATGAAAAATTAAAGAATTTACACAGTATGTCTCATTCATTGCTCAACGTACAGTATTACTATCATACTTCTGGCCCTGTTTCAGATCCTGTCAGAAGAATCGTATTTTTATGTCTTTAAAATGCAGGAAATGACATTGTTTTCTTTATTATAAAGTCATCTGTACTTACATATCATCAAAGATAAGCTTTGTCCTTCTGCAGTCCCTGGGTGTGCTGGAGAGAGGTGACCAAGGCTCTGTTTGGGACTGTGGCTTATTGCAGAGAAGAACATTTTCTGAATTTATGTGAATTGCTTTCTAGACAACAAACAGCAGAAAAGACATTGAGGAATTGGCTACTAACTTCAAAAAAGCAACTAATAAACAACAGAGCGTCTTTGCATTGTGTTGTAAATTGGCAGTTAGGTTTCCTACTATTTCAGCAGGGACGATGTATAACTGTCCTGTCACCCAGAGCCACAAATTCACAGACATTGCTCAGCGCACTTTGCAAAGGGCTCGAGTTTCGATGTGATAAACAGAAGAAATGGAGCTGAACAATTAGTAACTATCAAAACACTCTGAAACACAGTAAGTGAAATTATTAAAGAATAGATCTGGTGTCGTCATTTAGAAGATCAAGTTATATCTCTAGTCTTCAGCTTCCGAACTAGCATGGTACCGTGCCTTGGGAGAGCAAGGCTCGCTTGCTCGACTTGCTTCGCTCTGCACTGCTATGTGCCTGTGCGGTATGAATCCGCAGCCCAAGGTCTAGGTTTCTTTCTGCTCTGGGTCCCCGACCAACTTGAAAGATCAGTGCTCTGTTCCAGAGCAGAAGCACGTGTCTTTTGGCAGGGTCTCACGCATTCCCTCAGCTGCAGCCCTGTTCTTCATGTGGCCTCATGAGCCCTTCGTCCCACCAAGTAACCTGCCGTGTGGGCTACCACGCCCTGGTACAGTGCAAAGCAGAGAGCCCCCGGTTGGTTTGGGTTGATGACCACTGCCAGAAGATGCTGCTCCTTCTCCCTGAGGGGACAGATGGAAGTGCAGTGGGGAAATGGACAAAAAGCTCAAGCGGATAAAAGCCACTCCCTGGCTTGTGGTCTCTGACAGAGATTCGAAGGACCACTTGGGCATGCCAGTGAGGTCCCAGATGGGAAGATGGAATAAAACAAAGCTAACGTTAACATTTATAGTTCATGAGCTCTCATCTTCTACGTGGCACACCCAGGCCAGTTCAGCA